CCTCCAGTAGTTGTGAGAGAAATGTAGGAAACAACAATAGCCACTCTTTGTGGCCTTCATAGATCTTACAAAGGCCTTTGATTTGGTTAGCAGGGATAGCCTTCTTAAAATACTTCCCAAGATTGGATGTCCATTTCGACTCCTTAACATCATCAGGTCCTTTCATGAGGAAATGAAGGACACTGTGGTTTTTGATGGCTCAACATCAGATCCCTTTGACATCCGAAGCGCAGGGCTGTGTCCTTGCGCCAACTCTCTTTGGGATCTTTTTTGCTGTCATGCTGAAGCACGCCTTTGGAACTGCAACAGAAGGTGTTTATCTCTGGACTAGATCAGATGTAAAGCTCCTTAATCTCTCTAGATTGACAATGAAGACCAAAGTCCAGCTGAAATGCATGCAGGACTTCCTCCTCACTGATGATGCAGCTGTTGCGCCCCCCTCTGCTGAAGACCTCCAACAACTCATGAATCGTTTTAGCAAGCCCTGCCAAGACTTTGGATTAACAATCAGCCTGAAGAAAACACAAGTCACAGGCCAGGGTGTGGACTTGCCTCCTTCTATTACCATCTCCACACAAGAATTGGAGGTTGTTCATGACTTTGTATACCTTGGCTCAACAATCTCTGACACCTTTATTATCCTGAAGTTGAGCTGGATAAATGCATTGGCAAAGCAGCTACCATGTTCTCTAGATTCACAAAGAGAGTATGGCTAAATAAGAAGCTGACGGCATATACCAAGATCCAGGTCTATAGAGCCTGTATCCTGAGTACACTCCTGTACTGCAGTAAGTCCTGGATCCTTTGTGCACAGCAGGAGAGGAAGCTGAACACATTCCATATGTGTTGTCTCTGAGACATTTTTCGTATCACCTGGCAGGACAAAGTTCCAAATAGAGTAGTCCTAGAATTAGCTGGAATTTTCAGCATGCATACATTACTGAAACAGCGACGTCTACGTTGGCTTGGGCATGTCGTGAGAATGGGTGATGGTCAGATTCCAAAAGATCTCCTGTATGGAGAATTAGTGCAGGGAAATCACCCCAGAGGGAGGCCACAGGTGCAATACAAGGATACAGTGATGTCTCAACTTACGAAATTAATTTGTATTGGATCGGTGGCTGTAACTCAAACATTTCGTAAGTTGAAGCAAAATTTCCCATAGGAATGCATTCAAAACCATTTAATCCATTCCGGCCAAAGAAAAAAAAACCACACACAAAAAATAAAATAAAAGCCGCCCCCGCTGCCCTCTGCCTTCCAAATCCACCCCTGCTGCCCTCTGCCCTCCTGCAGAGGCGGAGGCAGCGGGGACGGGAGGCAGAGGGCAGTGGGGACAGCTTTGGAAGCCCAGGAAGTGATGGTAAGTCTAATGGATAAAAATGATAAACACAAATGAAGGATTTTTTTCCAATGGCAGTAAAACTAACAAAGTTACAGTGCCTCTGCAAAGTAATTAATAACTCAATGAGTTCCTTTGAAAAAATAACATTTCAAGTACTGGACTGGAATCCAGGAAAGCATCTGCCATAACATATTTCTGTATAGTCCTGTCTGGAACGTATTTGCTCAGAAGTTAGTCTTTCTAAATGGGACTTCTTCTTCTGTTAGGTATGCACAGAACTGTAGCTTTAGATTGTACAGCTGTACTCAGTTACTGTACATTGGAGTAACCCACATTGAACTCAGTTTTTGAGATCCTATTGCATAACTTACACATGTGCACGTACACACACACACACACACACACACAGAGTCATATTCACATAAAAATGGTACATACTTTCTGCCTCTAAGGTAGCTGGAGGTAGCCTAAAGTGAGGTAGCACCCCACTTGCCCTAATGGGTGTTCTGCTAGTGCATTCTAAATAGACACATTTTTCCATTTTATTACGTTTTGATAACAAAAAGCACTCAAGCCAGTGTGTTCTTTACAAGTTCTGAAGGGTAGTGACTGAAAACAAAATACATGGACTAAATTCCATCAGTGGGAAAATGTGTTTGATTCTCTCCCAATATCAGTGTTATTTAATTTTGGATTGATCATGCCAGAAATACTACAGTGTCATCCTGGGTAAGAGCCAAAGTACTTATGAATTGGGCTGGCTTCATGTTTTAACCCTCTTCCTTGTAAAGATCCATTTAGTATCTTCCCTCTCCCCCCCTTCCACATGGCCTACCAGGAGTGGTGGGCAACAAACAGTAGTACTGATAACTGACAGATGATATAAAATGTCCTGATTTTTTTTTATTTTTTCACAATATTCTGATGTAGAGTGAAGGATTGTGAGAAATGTAAAATGGCAGGCTGCTCACAGCCACCTTTCATAAGGGGTAAAAACTAAAGGATCCGGTGGTCTCAGACATCAGCATTGCCCACAGATACTGGGTGAAAATGCTGGTCCTGTGTATTAACCCACCCTCATGCCATGTAAGAAACACAAATCAAAACAATTTGGGACATAGGGAACTAGCGTGTGACTCGTTGGTCATGCCACTCTGAATATCTATTCTTGATTTTAGGGAGTCTAATACTTCAGATAGGTGTGCAGGAGCACGGTTATGTGTTTTGTTTCCTTGGTTATTGTAAATAACCCTTATCTAATCTAATGATTATACTAAGCCACAGTGTGCGTCTTCACCCTTCCTGGAAATGTATTCATTTATTGAGATACAGTATCCCTATTAAAAGGATTAATCACCCTTTTCCAGCTCACTCTCATTACAACTTGTGGCCCTGCTTTTAGTTTCCTGTTACATTTATAACTAACTGATAATTTCTTTTCAAAACTTTTAAGCTATGGAGCCATGAAAATCTAATCAAGTGTTTACAGAGATTTGAATTCTAGCACAGGAAGTCCCAGGATGTTGTCCTGTCCACATTCTCTTACGTCTGTGGATACATTACTTAGAAAGGTCATTTCACTGAAACATGTGAATTCTGCCAATAGTCTTGTTATTGGCCCGCAGACAAAATGACTACGTAACCACACTTCAAGCTCTCATGCAGAAACAGTCTGTCCGCAGGTTTAAGAGCTGTGGACAGTGGTTTCCTCTTCTAATCAGTGTTAAAAAGCAGCTAATATCAATATGTAGCAGAACACTGTTCTGTATTTTTAAATGGTTACACTCAAAAGCTAAACTCCTCCAATTAACTGTACACTTTGGAATAATTTAAAGGTTATACCCTAAGATAGTTCATGTTGTTGTTGAATTAGAAATAATTACAATTTAAAACATCTGGAATAAACTAAAATAGGACAAGTCATAGTTGATACCATGGACTTACAGTTTTTTTAAAAAAAACAACTCCCCCCCCATCTTATTTGCTTCTACCACAGTATCTAAACTTTGAATGAAGTATGGATGAAGTTTTGTTTCCCCAATAATTGAATTTGCCCAACATTCACTCCTCCAAGCTCCTTTCTGTAAGCACTTCAGGGACTAAAGGAAATATTTTGAACGGGTGCATATGAAAGAATGTAGAGGAGCGATATATAGTAAGAGGCAAGGCTGGACCACTACCTTGGCTTATTTAAATGTTGCCCTCCTCTGTTTGTCATCAAATAGTTACCATGAGACATGACAAAGACAGATGTGGCAATATAAATTTGGGTATTAACCATCCATTCATATTTTTTATATAAAAAGGTATTTTATTATGTGGCAGGTGGCAGTGGTCTCTGGACACAGCTGTCAGCAATGATGGCCATGGAAATGCATGCAAATCAAGCAGATGGCAACGAGTCCTTAAGGTGCAGTGAATACAATGTAATAACATATGGCCCAAGGC